CCAACTCCTAATATTCTTTGATTCTGTGATAGTGACATTGAAGTTTTAAGAAAACTTGGTTTATCAGGGAGAATCCCTGTGTGTATTTCAGCCTGTAAAATATTCTTCTAGGCATGATTTCAGGAATTCCAGTGTTCGGGAATGCCAAAACAGAGTATACTTAAAAAACCCTACCCAAAATACAAAAAAACTCTACCACACCATAAACCTTTTATATTTGTTACAAGTATAAACGAAATAAAGCAACTTAGACCACTTAGTTTAAAAAATGAAAATTTTGAAAATTCCTAGCCTCTTTTAAGGCTAGTTTTCCTTTTAAGTATAAATTTTTAAAGTTAATGTCTCAACTAGCAATATTAAAAAAACCCAATAAAACAACAAACCAAGCAAAAAACAACCAAAAAACCAAACTCAAAAAAACGCAAAATAAAAATATCCCACATAGCATTTCCAGCTTGCTTGTGTAAAATTGAGGCTTTACATATTAGCAAAAGTAGAAAAATTAACATTAATTTCTCAAACACTTAACTTTTGTTAAACGTGTATTTTGCTTCACTCAAAAAACTTGCCCTTAAGCTACGGATATTCATCTCCAGGGCTGAAATTGTACTTTTCCTTAAAATATAATCTAAATATAAAATGTTATAAAACTTCTAATGATGTTTACAGTATGCTCAGACCAAAATTTCACCTGGGGAGAAGGCTTGCCTTTTTCAAATGAATTTGTAGAATACCTAAAACTTAACTTTTTCTATAAATCTAGAGAAAATTAAAGTATGTATGAAGTAGGTATATAAAAATGGATGTGAATAAATCAGTTGGATTTTTTTGTTTTTCTTTTTGTTCTTAGAGGTTTACCACGATGCCTGGGTCTCTTCCAGTGAATGCTGAATCCTGCTGGCCCAAAGATGTGGGAGTTATTGCACTGGAAATATATTTTCCCTCTCAGTACGTTGACCAGACAGAACTGGAGAAGTATGATCGTGTGGATGCTGGGAAATACACCATTGGACTAGGCCAGTCAAAGATGGGGTTCTGCTCTGACCAGGAGGATATAAATTCTCTTTGTTTGACTGTGGTTCAGAAACTCATGGAGAGGAACAGCTTTTCTTATGACTCTATTGGGAGATTAGAAGTTGGAACAGAGACAATAATTGATAAATCAAAATCTGTAAAGACTGTCCTGATGCAACTTTTTGAAGAATCTGGTAATATGGATGTAGAAGGAATTGACACCATGAATGCATGCTATGGAGGCACTGCTGCTCTTTTTAATGCTATTAATTGAATTGAGTCCAGTTCTTGGGATGGTAAGTTCAAGGTATTTTCTTGAAAAGTTGTGTCAGTCTATTTTTGAGTATTCTGCCTTGCAATTATAGTGTTCATGTTTAAACATATAAAACCCAGAAGGTAAACTTTTGTATGCTTCTGAAGTCTTTCTTAAATGCTCTGGGCATTTGCCACTAGTTCAGTTACCTGCAAAGCATAATGACAACCGCATCCTGGGCTGCATCAAAAGAAGTGTGGCCAGCAGGGCGAGGGAGGTGATTCTGCCCCTCTACTCTACCCACCTGGAGTACTGTGTCCAGTTCTGGGGCCCCCAACATAAGAAGGACATAGAGCTGTTGGAGCGGGTCCGGAGGAAGGCCACAAAGATGATCAGAGGGCTGGAGCACCTCCCCTACGAGGGCCGGCTGAGAGAGTTGGGGCTGTTTAGCCTGGAGAAGAGAAGGCTCCAGGAGGGACCTTACTGCAGCCTTCCCGTTCCTGAAGGGGTCCTACAGGAAAGCTGGGGAGGGACTTTTTAGAAGGGCAGATAGTGATAGAACGAGGGGGAATGGTTTTAAACTGGAAGAGGGTAGATTTAGACTAGATATTAGGGGGAAATTCTTTACTGTGAGGGTGGTGAGACACTGGCACAGGTTGCCCAGGGAAGTTGTGGATGCCCCCTCCCTGGAAGTGTTCAAGGCCAGGTTGGACGGGGCTTTGGGCAACCTGGTTTGGTGGGAGGTGTCCCTGCCCATGGCAGGGGGGTTGGACTAGGTGATTGTTAAGGTCCCTTCCAACCTAAACCATTCTATGATTCTATGATTCTGTGACATGGATAATCATCACTGGTCCCTTCCTGTAATTTTTGGTTGCTGCTAGGGTTGAAGAGCCCCTTATTCCTGGAGTCATCTCCTCTATAATCAAAGTCTAAAAATTACTGATGGATATTGAAATGTGTTAGATTCTTGCCTACTTTTCTTACTTATTTCTGTGTTTTTCACAGGACGTTATGCACTTGTTGTTGCTGGAGACATAGCTGTGTATGCCACTGGAAATGCTAGGCCAACAGGTGGAGCTGGTGCTGTTGCTGTGCTGGTTGGTCCAAATGCTCCATTAATTTTTGAGAGGTTAGTCCTGTGAGAAAACAAATACTCTTCAGCCAGATACTGAACCTGTTCTGAAGCCCATCCCCTGTTTTTGTGGGTTGCTGGAGGACTGGATTAACTCCCACTAATGTCAGAAATTGTACTTTGTCTCTTCTTGCTCTGGGATAACTTGGCCAAGTCCTGTTATAGGAGGCAGCAAAAAATAACTAGAGATGTTTCTATTTGTTTTTTCCTTGGGGATTCTCCAATAAAATTAACAAAGAGTAGACTAGAGCTGAATAACGCAGCGCTCTACTTTCAAGGTGAAATAATGAAAACAATTTCTTACTTGTTTGTCATGCTCAGTCCTACCGTATTTGTGTAACAGATGATTTAGAACTGTGTGAATTGTTACCTTAAAGGGCCCAAAATGCTATGAAAACCTGCTTGACTGATGTCAAATATTACTTGTTTTCCATGTGTTAAGCAATGTGTTCAAACCAACTCAAAGTAGCTGAATAAAGTAATTTTCAACTTTGTCAATTTTTCTCCATCAGGATTGTGTTGCCACTTGACTGGAGGATGGCAGATGTT